CAAGTTAACAGTTTTCTCGACAGAATTTTCACGTATCCGTATGTGGAACGTAGACGTGCATGACAGTTGATATCACTTTCCCGAGGTTGCGCATGGCCAGGGAACACATTGGCGAAATTTCAGCATCAAAGCTTACGTAGTTGGCAAGTAGAAATACCCAGGCAGACGACACACACACACACAGACAGGGTCGTCGCAATATGCGTTTTTGCTGCCTGTTGTAGCGCTCTAGCACTGTGCGGCAAAAACGCATAATTATTGTAGTACGTGCAGTCGATATTACGAAATATATATTCATTTGTTGCAGCCGAAAGAAGTGATTCCGGGACCTCCGAGGACATTGTTGGAAGGGCTGGAGCAGCGCGCTCAGAAGTATAAAGTATTATGCGAGCAAAGTAAGGCAGAGAAAAATGAACGAAAACTCAGGTCAGGGCAATATGGCCTTTCTTTGCTCCATGTTGAAAACCAGTTTTGTATTTAGAAAAGAAAAAGAGGGAGTTTTATTTGAAGTTCAGTCCCGGAAAAGTGGGGTGCATTGGGGTGTTTTTCACTTTTTGTTCGAATTTCTCATTGTGCAACATGGCACCTGTTCTGTACTAACAGCTGCTTGCTTAGGACATGTTATAACATTTTAGTACAAATTTTAACGTTTCTGAAATAATGTATTTGTCTTTTGACGCATTTGAGCATCCGGGTTTGTTGTTTTAGCTGTTATGTTGCTTCCAACTTCAAAAGTTAAATAGAATAGAAGCCCAAAATAAATTTGAACGTTCCAAGCTGGGTCGACGGGGAGGCCGAAATTGTAAAGCGATATTTTGCGGCCGTCGGTAGGCTGAAGCATACCTTCTCAAATAACGGACTGTACAAATTTTGCGCCTTTTTACTTTTTTTTTGCATTTTTATGCGTTTTGTGCTGTGTAACAGCATTATAAAACGCATATTGTTACAGATTTGTCTGTGTGTGTGTTTGTGTATGTGTCCCACATTTTGTCCCTCACTTTCAACTCGGGAACCACAAAAGCTAGGCGGTTGAAATTTTGGTATAATGTTCCCTGCAGCGGGTGACGCGGCAAATTTAAATTCAGCCTTCCCGTGCTCGCGTAACACGTGCGGCCCTGTGAAAGTTTTTAACGGGTAAATTATTATCTCGGGAACCACGGAGTCTAGGAAGCTGAAATTTCAGGATAATGACGCCCTGCCCACGCTCGACCTTGCCTATTCAAATTCAGCGTTCCCTCGCCTTTGAGTATCACCTACGGCCTCGTGGAAATTTTAGCGGGTAAACTGTTAACTCGGAAGTCACGGAAAGATATTCACCCTCGAAGGTTTCGAATTCAGCTTTCATGCGCTGGTGCGTGAAATTTTCAACTATTTTCCAACGTTTGAACTTTTTTTGCATAGACTAAAGTAAAAAGCAGTGAAAATCATTAATAGGCAATTGTTCGATGGGTTGAATTACACAAAACGCATGATCGCACCGGCTAGTCTGGAGCGCGTTGCTATTTATTCGGACGGTGACAGTATCGGCTTCTTCCTTTTCTTAATTTCCGTCAAATTATCACTGGTTTAAAGTGCATTGAATTTTCAAAAAAAAAATTTGCTGTTGCATTTGCAGAATGAATTCACGTATTTTGAAGCAATATGAAGATGCGATTCGCGCATGTCGTATGAATAAGCCAGTTGATACCAGTGAATTGCCATGCCCTCTGGGATATCCACCACTGCCTTCTTCCGGAACAGCCGTTGCTCCAGCCAGTGCTACATGTAAATTTTAGTTCGAACTTACTTTCAAAACATTACAACTGTTCAGATGAGCCAAAAATTTGACCAGAACGATTTTTAGCTGGAACAGCTGCACCGCCCAAAAGGCCGCTTCCCGAAGTTGGACCTTTCGCTGCGCCCGAACAGACAGAATCTGGAAGGCAGTCACGTCAAAAACAACAACTGGATTTCCTGCTCAAGCGGCAAATGCAGTTCAAGCAAGCTGCTGTGGCAGCAAAGAATAAGGGCGATATTGAAGCGGCCAAAAAATTCCTCCTTGCAGCTAAGGTAACAAGAAAATATTTTAAAGTTCGAAGAAGCAGACAAGAACAATTTCTACCCGCATGCACAGTTCGGTCTGTGTATACAGCTAAGGGATGAAACACAAACTTTCGAGATAGTAAAATATCCTTCGGCACATGACACTTAAGACCAATCTTTCCATTCTACTATTCCATATTAAAAAGCTAGTAGAAGTAGTAAAATATTTTAATAAAAATATTATAATACGTAAGAAATGTTCCAGTTCCGGTCCATTAAGTCGTATACATTTCTTACCATTACCACAGTTGGACCTCACCAGTACGACGATTGTGG